CACCACCTCGATTTCGCGTTCAGGGGACGAGGTAGGGGAAGAATGGCTGAATTTCCTTTTCTTCGCCCTGCTCCGGTTGTCAGACCTGTCTTTCGGCAAACCAAAACGACCCGAGGCGGTTGCCCCGATGGACATTGAAGGCTCACCACCTCCCCCTTCGTTATTCGAGTCCTCATCAGACTCCGTCCCCCCGCGCAGCCTCAGTGGAGCAGCGCCACGGATCTGAGCGTTCTCCATATGGGGGAACGTCTGGGCTGGTGGTGGTCCAGCAGAGTCCCCCACACTTTCGGGGCGGTTAAGCACACTGAAGAGTTCCTCCCTAGTGCGGCCACTATTGGCCTCAACTATACTCTCTGTGGCTTCAGCCACAGGAGCCCTCCTCTCCGAGCTGATGGTCGGCTCGGCAATGGGCACATTGTGCCCTCTCATTAACAAAGCAAAAGCCTTTCCCTCCTCCTCTCCCTCTCTCTCCTCTACTATTTTGTTGGTAAAACACTTCATCATTCTCTGGTCGCCCACCCCTTATTACCCGAAGGCGTACAGGGCGGGCTCTAAAATTGGGAGGAATTAGATACTCCCCAGCCGGTGCCCCCTCGGCTGGGGTCGGGCGATTTGTACACCTGGAGTTCGCCAGATGTCCCGGGGTGGACCGCTAGTGACCGACTAACCCGCCGGCCATCCATCTCTTCGCCGCGGCCCAGAAACCTGAGAATGGGGGGGTTTTTTATAGAGGTCCCCATCCTCGCAGCTCAGGCGGTTAAACCAAAGCCCTCGTTCCCCCGGAGATCGTCATAGACATGACATAACGACCCCGGGGGTTTACGATATGTGCACAGGTCCGACGTTGGTCGGACCACCGCTATAGGAGTCCTGGCAAATACCACGCAGACCCCTGAAACTCCCAGTGCGCAGCTGCCCACACGGGGGGTCCTACCCGACCTATCACGTCGCAGGACGCGAACGTGACCAAGAGGAGCCACAGAGTTGCCGAGGTGCGGCACCTCTCCACGATAGTGGAGAAGGGCCAATGCACCGGTCTCTGCAACTCCATCTCCCGTCCCGCCGGCCCGGAGTTAACCTTCGGGTAACTCCGACGGGATGGCCATCCCAGGGACCCCAACCTCAGAATATGTCCGAGCGGCCCGCGCACCCCTCCACCCTCCGGGGTTGTCGGGAACTACCGATGTGCAATCCTGAGTGTGGGTTCCTCTCCCCACCCTATCCAGCCCGAGGCCCGAGTAGGGACGGCTCTAGGGTGTCCCACACTTTCAGCTGCCAGATCGGCGTGCAATGCCTAGTCGTGTGGAACCTTCTCCTCCCCCGCGACGGGAAATTACCTGCCGCGGAGCGGAGGTCCCCCCAACCCCGAACCCCAAGACTGGTGGTAGAGCAAGCTCCATCTAACGGTCCCAGCCGGCCGGGCGATTGGAGTCAGGGCCGTCAACCCCTACCGGCAATTGGGCCCATCGGCCCTGTGGGAGTTGCCGGGCTCCCCTGCAGTGGAGGGTCTTACGACCCCCTCTAGCAACCGCGGGGCTGCAGCCCACCGCGGTCCGGTTTTCTGTGGGGGTTTTCTTTCCCCGTTGTCGCCGTTCAGCGATCCTCAGGTAGGGGCCTCCCTTCCGGCCGAGACCAAAAGGTACTGCCGCCGAGCCTTCATCAGAACCCCTCCACCACGATAACGTGGCGGCATGGAGGGGACACATGTCGAAACCTCGGTTAAAATTGCAGGAAAAAATTTTCTGGCGTATGATGTTAGATTTTCGTTTGCACATTTCGAAACAAATCGAGTGTTCGTTTGCACACCTCTAGAAAAAAAGTTATTTAACATTGAAATTTGGGAGGGCTATCTTCACACTTGGCGAGACCTAAGTTAAAATTGCAGGCAAAAAATTTTCTGACGCATGATATCGTTAGATTTTCGTTTGCACATTTCGAAACAAATCGAGTGTTCGTTTGCACACCTCTAGAAAAAAAGTTATTTAACATTGAAATTTGGGAGGGCTATCTTCACACTTGGCGAGACCTAAGTTAAAATTGCAGGCAAAAAATTTTCTGACGCATGATATCGTTAGATTTTCGTTTGCACATTTCGAAACAAGTCGAGTTTTCGTTTGCACACCTCCAGAAAAAAAGTTATTTAACATTGAAATTTGGGCGGGAGCTAACTTTACACTTGTCGGAACCTCGGTTAAAATTGCAGGAAAAAATTTTCTGACGCATGATATCGTTAGATTTTCGTTTGCACATTTCGAAACAAGTCGAGTTTTCGTTTGCACACCTCCAGAAAAAAAGTTATTTAACATTGAAATTTGGGCGGGAGCTAACTTTACACTTGTCGGAACCTCGGTTAAAATTGCAGGAAAAAATTTTCTGACGCATGATATCGTTAGATTTTCGTTTGCACATTTCGGAACAAGTCGAGTTTTCGTTTGCACACCTCTAGAAAGAAAGTTATTTAACATTGAAATTTGTTTCGAAATGTGCAAAAGAAAATCTAACGATATCATGCGTCAGAAAATTTTTTCCTGCAATTTTAACCGAGGTTCCGACAAGTGTAAAGTTAGCTCCCGCCCAAATTTCAATGTTAAATAACTTTTTTTCTAGAGGTGTGCAAACGAAAACTCGACTTGTTTCGAAATGTGCAAACGAAAATCTAACGATATCATGCGTCAGAAAATTTTTTCCTGCAATTTTAACCGAGGTTCCGACAAGTGTGAAGTTAGTTCCCGCCCAAATTTCAATGTTAAATAACTTTTTTTCTAGAGGTGTGCAAACGAAAACTCGACTTGTTTCGAAATGTGCAAACGAAAATCTAACGATATCATGCGTCAGAAAATTTTTTCCTGCAATTTTAACCGAGGTTTCGACAAGTGTGAAGTTAGCCCTCCCAAACTTTAATGTGAAATAACTTTCATTCTAGAGGTGTGCAAACGAAAACTCGTCTTGTTTCGAAATGTGCAAACGAAAAACTAACGATATCATGCGTTAGAAAATTTTTTTCCTGCAATTTTAACTTAAGTTTCGCCAAGTGTGAAGATAGCCCTCCCAAATTTCAATGTTAAATAACTTTTTTTTCTAGAGGTGTGCAAACGAAAACTCGTCTTGTTTCGAAATGTGCAAACGAAAATCTAACGATATCATGCGTCAGAAATTTTTTTCCTGCAATTTTAACCTAGGTTTCGCCAAGGGTAAAGATAGCCCTCCCAAATTTCAATGTTAAATAACTTTTTTTTCTAGAGGTGTGCAAACGAAAACTCGATTTGTTTCAAAATGTGCAAACGAAGATCTAACGATATCATGCGTCAGAAATTTTTTTCCTGCAATTTTAACCTAGGTTTCGCCAAGGGTAAAGATAGCCCTCCCAAATTTCAATGTTAAATAACTTTTTTTCTAGAGGTGTGCAAACGAAAACTCGATTTGTTTCGAAATGTGCAAACG